CATACGGTGCAGCTGCTGGAGATACGTGAAAAGGGAGCAAACCGGCCACAGTGTTGGGTTTGCGCCCTTCCTGGGCTACTGTAAAAACATGGCGGCTTCTTATTTTGCAAGTGATCTGTACACTAATGAAAACATTCCTCATGAATATTACATTCCCATTTCTTGCCAATTAGGAGCCTCCTAATGTTACACCCACTGGACGCCTTTTTTGGCTTTATGTGTACTTAAATGTGTTTTTTTTTCTGCCGGGTTTAGTTTACCTTGCTTTCCCTCCTCATCAGGAACCAGGATTGTCCTCCGGCTGAAATGACATTGACCACGGGAAGGAGGAGGCCCTTCACAGGCCTTTGATGGCAGCTGATAAATAAACCAATTCCATCGGTTAAATTAAACATAAATAGGGAGACACATTATACATTCCTGGTACTCTGTCTTCAACTAAACTCACATTGAAGTTGCAGACTGAGGGGAAGCAGCCTGAGCTTATCTATGCTTTGGCTGATAAGTATCATGGGTTCGATTTGATAAAACAATATATATTTGTGTATCTTTCAGTTCTAATTCTTGGATTAATTTGCCATAAAGCAAATCTTGCCTGTGCAAAAACTGCACAAACTTGTAACAAAAATGTATTAAGTTCATAAAAGGAAAATAACTAAGATTTCAGCAGTAACAGACTATTGGGAGTTTGTAGAGGTTTGTTTTAACAACGGTTCAAGGGGAAGGGCCAAATTCAAAGCGGTTTTTTGATTTGTCAACCAAACTAAACTTAAATATTATTCTGGATTTAGGCGTTTCACCGAAGAAGTGGAATTTTAACTTAATTTCTGCATGTTAAAGGAAAGCAGCAACTGCCCATTTTATGTCACCATAGTAATGGAGCTGGTGTGGGTGGCCACAATTGTCCTCCCACCAAGACTGCTGTTCTTCGTGCAGAGCCTTGCGAGGCGGTCTTTCCCAGGGGAGCAAACCTGACACCACACACACACACACACACACACACACACAAAATATTAATCAGGAGGGTAAGGCAGACATTTATTTGCATGTTATCTTCATATTAGGTACAATATGCATAACATGTTTCATTCTTAACTTTAAGTAATAAAACTAATCAAATCAGCCACATCTAGGCTGACTAAATCAGGAGTGCATGTTACATTTCAAATTAAAGACTGGTGTGCGTGCACTCTCCTGCCCTTCACACACACACACAGCACACACACACGCTGGCGGTCGACAGGCCGCACACACACTTTTGACCACTAATTTTTTTTGGTCAAAACCAGATTTTTGCATCCAGGAAAAGCCACTTCCGGATGATTTGGCAACTAACCTAAAAACCCACATCCTTTGGAGGCTCTTTTCCTTTCTTCTCCATTTCTTCTCTTTCCCTCCCATCCTTCCATTCTATTTTTCTTTCCCTGCCACATTTACAAAACCCCTTGTTACTCTTTTATGCCCCCACCCTTCCACCCCCCTCACCTGCCGCCTCTGATTTGGGCTGTTTTTGCAGCCCTGGTCAGTCACACAGTGAGGGACGTTGCAGAAATAGCTTTGGTTTTTTTTTTGGGGTTTTGTGGGGCACGTTGGCTTCAGGTTCGGAAGGTTTGAACTTCAGCCTGAGCAGTTTGTTTTTAGGTTTTTTGCGGGTTTAGTTTTGCGGGTTTCAAGCCTCCTCTGACCACCAACACCATCTCTTCTGCAGCCCCACACACAACACAAGGGGTGAGTTTTACCCCAAAAACACACACACATCACTCACACTAATGGAGAGGCCACACCACAGGCGAAAGCGAAGATCTAATTTAGTTTTGATAGAAAAACAAACTGTGTGTGGTTATATAAGCAGTTCAAGAGCGGCGAATGGTTAGTTTCAATGGCCACATATTTCATTTCAGATGTTTTTTTCTATAATCTTAATATTTACGTTACAACAAGCAACAGTTTGTACAACTTGTTCTTTGTCCTTTTCTACTTTTTTTATTGTCTATTTAATTTAGAATTTACATTTTTTTCCTTGTAAGGACACATTTTTTTTAATTTTTTTGGTTTTTAGGAAATGCTATTTCATTATTTGTTTAAACTTACAACAATAGTTTTTTTTTTTTAGGGGCGCCTACCTAAGAATTAATTTTATTTACTTTTATTGCTATCTAATGTTTTCTTTTGCTTTGTTGTAACTTTCTTACTTAAACTTACAACTTGGACAAAGTAAACAAGCTTGATTTTTACTAACAGTGTTTATTAGAGTCGTCTAACACCATGTATTCAAACAAGGGAAAGGTTGAGGTTTCTTTACGCTTGCTTATTTTAGCTTTTATGCCTGCGAGCAGTTTGGCTTGGTACAAGTATTCATTTAGCCAAAATACTTATTGTGGCTCTTTCATTTGCTTAATAGGTTCTATGGGCTTCAAACAGTCTGTTCAGCAGCAGCAGCCCCCAATTGCTGTACTGGGGGTGGAGTCTGTGTGGTGGTGTGTGTGTGTGTGTGTGGTCGTGGTGTGTTGTGTGTGTGTGTGTCTTACATCATGCTCTGTAGCTCTGGAATGAAACTGGTCCTGGAAACTGGACGGTCTTTAGAACTGGAGGCGGCGGAGCCAGCCATCGGACTGCTCATAACCACAGCCACCTGACGACATGAACAAAACAAAGAAATAAAGCTGCATTAAATTAAATTAACTTTTTTCA